TGAACCAACGGCATCACTTATTACCCGTTCACTAAAATCCCTCAGTACCCTAACCCTTACTCGGAAGTTTCCAACTCCAAGCCCGCAGCCCAGCCGCCAGCTCCTCAAATCAGCGTCCTAGATCTGATCATCTCCTCAAATCCGCACTTCCTCAAACCAGCATCGTAGACCATTTCTTCAAATCTGCCAGCCGCCAGCTCTCTCTCTGCACTCCGCAGCGCACCCGCACCGGCGCAGGGTCACAGCGCAGGCGCAGTCGGCACTCCGCAGTGCGCTCCGCTCTCCGCAGGCGCAGAGATGTTCTCTCCAGTGACGAGGAAATCCCATCTGCCTCATCCTCCTCCTCCTCGTCATCAAAAAGACAGACAGGAGGATTGCTGCTGCTGTTCACTTAAAGATTTTTTGTTTATGACAGATACTGAATTTGAGCACAGAAGTAGCAAAGAAATAATTTTTTTTTTTAACTAATTTAGATGCAACAAATTAAAACAATTAACTAATACAACAAATATATAAAATTCGGGTGAACAGTAATCCCGATGAACAGTAAAAAATTTTTTTAAATTTTTTCCTTTTTTTTTATTACTAATTAACTTAACAGCAAGAATTATTATTTAATCTTCTAGATTGCTTTCAAAACAATAATAATATAAAACAAATTAAAGAGTTAGAAAATTCAGGCCTGATTGGGAGCAGTCGTGATATCACTGCCCTAGAAGATTAAGGACCCGCCTATCGCCCTGGCGCAGTTTGTCCTCTCTCCCCTAGCGGTAAAAACCCCCGGAATCGGCCGGCCTCTGCACTCGGGCGTGAGACACAGAACTTATGCTCAGACGAAAACAGTTGCCCAGAAAATAGAATATGTAGCCGAAATCTTTGGAGGTATAAGAGTAGAGAAGAGAAGAGAGTGTAGAGATTTTCCTCTTCGTTGGTGTGTCTCTGAATGAGCTCCAAGCCTCCTTTTATAGGTGATGAAAGGTGTAACCCCCGCTGAATCCAAGGGACCGTTACGCACAGTTAATGCTTCCGTTACCCGCATGCAGCTGTTACAAAATGTGTAAAACGTGCAAAAATGAAGGCTTGAGAAGCAAAAGTGTGCGGCTGCGGCGTGGCGTGCGGGCGAGGCGCGGCGCGGCGTGGCGTGCGGGCGGGCGCGCGCGCGCGCGCTCGCGTGTGTGGTAGAACCGCAAAGCCCACAAAACCCAAAACACTATTCAAAGCCCAATAAGGAGAGAACCATTATATACCCTTTACTATTCATCTCATTTTCCGAGGTGGGACTATTCACAAAGGCAAAATTGCCTTTTCATGAATAAGCTTCCAACAGTCCCCCCCAAAAGGCAATATTGACTGAAAATAATAAATCAATAAATAAATCACAGAATAAATATAGGTTTGGCAACCTTTCGTATCGTGAATTCGGGAGAGGTAGCTTTCGGCTTTGAACCTTTCCTTAGTGAGTTTATCGCCACCTGAGGGACATAATGGACGGTCAGCCCTGTCCCCCCCAACCGCGGCCATCACGGTTCCTCTCACGTAGGTAAGTCCTCAAAGGGTACTACAGCTGTTTATTTAATACCCCCCACAATACACGCGTTGGACTTATTAAGAGTAAAACTCAGCCTAGCCAGCTGTATCATAAGAGCATCGTCACCATAGAGAAGGGGTAGTAGCAAATGCTACATAATGATATATAAATATATCTAGGTCGATGCTCCACACGAGAGTCACTTGTCCAGCTTGTTTCTACCACATTGAACCGACATTGGGACTACGTCTCCAAATAAGGGTTGGGTTGCCGCTGTCAGTGACCTCATTTATGGGCTTAACCCCATCTCCCTCGATGAATCCAGAACCACACTCCTGGATAATCCCTTAGTCAAAGGGTCAGCAAGATTTTTCTCAGACTTTACAAAGTCCAAGATCACAACTTTGCCTAATAGGCGTTGTACAGACTTATATCTTATTTGAATATGTCTGTTATGTTTTTTATTTACATGTACTTGCTTTAGAAGCTCTATGGTAGATCTAGAATCAGAATGAATGGAAATAGGAGGAGAGGGTTTAGGGACCAAAGGAAGTTCAGATAGAAGATCTTTTAACCATTCGGCTTCTGTGCAAGTAGTATCAAGAGCAATTAGCTCAGATTCCATGGTGCTCCTGGCAATTATTGTTTGCTTACATGATTTCCAGGATACAGCAGCACCACCAAAAAGAAATACATATCCAGATGTAGACTTTACACTGTTGGAATCCGTGACCCAATTGGCGTCACTATACCCTTCTATAGCATCAGGGTAACCAGTGTAAGTCAAGCAATAGTCAATTGTGCCTTTTAGATATTTGAATACTCTTTCTAAGGCAGACCAATGATCTTTGCTAGGGTTGCTAGTATACCGACTCAGTCTCCCTACAGCATAAGCTATATCAGGTCTGGTTCGGTTGGATATGTAAAGAAGAGATCCAATCATCTGAGAATATTTTAGTTGGGAGACAGGTTCACCTTCATTCTTCTTCAAAGGTATAGAAGAATCATAAGGTGTGGAAACAGGTTTAGAGTTATGAAAGTTGAATTTGATTAGCATTTTATCAATGCTATGGGAAAGACTCAAAGATATTCCTCTAGTGTCTCTAGAGATTTTCATTCCAAGTATCATGTCTGCAAGACCTAAGTCTTTCATATCAAAGTTTTTGGAAAGATAATCCTTAACCTTTGAAATTAATTCAAGTGTTGTTCCAAAGATAAGGATATCATCAACATAGAGACAGAGAATGACATAGCCATTGTTTATCACTTTAGAATAGACACATTTATCGTATTCATTCACAGTGAAGCCATATTGTGCAATGACGTTGTCAAATTTCTGGTGCCATTGTTTTGGAGCTTGTTTAAGACCATACAAAGATTTAACAAGCTTACAGACTTTGTTTTCCTGACCCTTGGTAATGAAGCCTTCAGGTTGGTGCATATAGATTTCTTCATCTAAATCATCATTCAGGAAAGCAGTCTTGACATCCATCTGATGTATGATAAGCTTATGGATAGCAGCAAAGGCTAGTA